TTCCCTGATACCTTGGCTATGTTCTGTAAACTAGAGAGTCACGTTTCTTTAAAAAATCCCAAGGTGCAGAAATAGAACTGAAGATGTTAGGTACTGGGACTGCTCATGTCAAGGCTCACCCTCTCTTGTATATTGTAGCATATTCAGCCTCATCTGGTCAGCTGACAACTTTGCTAACACTGGGAAAGCAATCAGATGGTAAATGGCTGTGACAGGGGGCCATCCCGGGGCCGGGTCTCACATTGGCCCACCCACCTGTCTGAGTAGTGTAGTTCACCCAGTCTCTCCTGCCACGACTTGATGGTATAGAACACCAGTTTACTAAATGGAAGGCTGCCCATTATGATGCCCTGATGCCAGGGGGCACTATCCACAACTCTGTACTTGCCCTACACTGTAGCCCATGCCTCACAGATGGCATCCAGATTGGTATTGCTCCCTGGTTTCAGGCCGGGACAAACTAATTCCACTGTTGGGCCTCTTACACACTCACACTCACTCCACCCCCCTCTCATAGGGGCCTCTTGCACTTCGCCCCACTCTCACAAGTTGATGATTTCTCACTGAAGAGTGGGGGCTGGGGTTAAGGCGCCCCTACCCGCCTTTCACCAGGGAGGTAATTGACCTGGCATTTCTTGGGGGTTGTTCTGCACAAACAGTTCTGCCAGGCCACCCTTCCCCGGCAGGGTGCAGTTTCAGGTCATGCCCAGGACCAGGAGCCTCCAAACCTCCCCATTGCTCCTGCCCTCACCTCCAAGTTGTTCCAGGAGCAGTAGTTCAGCTGGCTGGTGTTACTTCCTCAGCTGCTAGCAGCCGACTGCTCCCCCAGCCTGTGTGTGCTGGGTCCTAAGATGGCTTCCCTAATCAAGCACCTGCCAGCTGCCTGTCTCCAGCCCTTAAAGTAGCAGGCACCCAGAGGTGTACTGCCACAAGGGCCATTATATCTGACTTATGAGCACACATACCCTCCTACCTGACACCTCCTGTAGAGAGACAGAGACTTGGGTATCAGTAACTAGATCCCTTCTGCTCATTACATCACATACCACAGCAAAAAAATCTGGACCTGTGTGAGATTGTGGAGAGAGCATGGTAAATTATCACCAGTGATCAGTGCCATATTCAATACTTTCTTTGTTATTCTATGAGTCTCCTTGGCTAAATACAGACAGTAAAATGAATTGATTCAATCTTCACAGGTTAGTCTAAGCTGCATAGATTGAACCTATGAGCAAGTGAACAGATGCTCGCTTTTCATTTCAGAAATGCAGCCACATGCCTGCAGTGGCCCAGGCCAGAAGCCAGGAGGTGCCAGATCATACCTCCCTGCTCCACTGGAGCAGACAGCTTGGGCCAAGGCTAACCTGCCCAACCTGCAAGGGAGGGGGTTTACAGAGAGGGAGGTGCAAAGCATCCTTGGATGCTGAGGGACTATGAATTAGCTTGAATCTGGAGGGGGTCTGGAAAGTTCAGTAAACCGATTTAACCTAAATCAGTTAAGGCTAATACTACATACATCCAGGTTTATCTTCTACTGGCTTTGGCCATTTTGAAAGCAGTTTTTGTGCACTGAACGTCTATTGTGTTACAGATTTGAACTGGTTTCCAATCACTTATACCAGTTTATGCGTAACTTCTGTCCCTAGCCCTTGTGCTTATTTAAAGATATAGTTTGGCTGCAAAGTTCTGTTAGAGTTTACTCCTGCTGTGAAGTCTGGAATCATTTAAATTTGGGGAATCTGGGTTTTTCCTCTCTCTCCACCAGCCCACTGGCTTGGTAAAATTCTAGTTGGATGGTTGACCAATTGGGGATTATTGATATGGAATTGAGATACACAACTAATTGGCTTTATAAATTGCAGTTGCAAAAGTATAGCTTTCCAAACTGGTATATAATAGTGTTCCTAACATGCTGCCCATGGTGTTTCAATGAACTAGGAAGAATTTGAATGGAAGTAGATTCTTGTACTCTGTTAGGGAGCTTTTTTTGGTCAGGATTTTCTTTTCAAAGCAGATCAGGAAAAAAATCAATGTGGCCCATCAGCAGTTTTTGTTCATGTTTTACAGGGAACGGCTGTAGCAGCACTGACAGTATGTGATGCAGACACTACACCTATTTACCCTCTTGAAAGCAGCAGGAAGAAGTACACAGGAACCATCATTACAGCTGATCCCTGGATAAATGAAACATTTCGTGTGGAGCACCTCTTCCATGAAATCCGTTTCAGCCCAAATGGTAGCCAAGTGAGGGGAACTCTGCATGAATACAGTAAGGTCTCTTTCTTCAAACAACCAAATAAGTTGTTTGCAATTGTCTGGACTTACAGCTCTATGCACTAATCAGCCAGGAGGTTCTGATAATATGAATGTAATTGTAAGGTACTTGTTTACACATCTTTCTAATATGTGGCATGTACCATTAATGTACAGAATGGAAACATCTTTATATTTCCAGTTCTAATCCAACCTTCTTGGATGCCATTAGCTGATAAATAGATTTTATATTTATATTTTTGTTGGGATTTGCATTACCTAAAAGTTGCACTTACAGCTATTGTGGATATGTGAAAGGCCATTCTTCTTTTTTGCAGAACTGGTACTGGATAAAAATATTTCAGTCTCAGAGAACCGTTCCTTCCAGTTGGATGTTCTGGTGAATGACACAGAGTTTAATGGCCCTGAAAGATCACTGATGCTCCACTTCAATGTTTCCATTCTTCCTGTCAGCATTCAGTTTCCTAACATGACATACCAGTTCACAGTTAACAGAAATGCTGAACGTTTTGCACAGGTAAATGCTCTCTTACTTGCTTTTGACTATTGTTAATAATGAGGTTTTTAAAAAGGAGACAGCTTGGGAGATTTTCAGAAAGGCTTAGCCTCTGAAAAATGAAATAGGAAACAACTTTGAAAATCTACTCTGGCAGATGTACTCTATTCTTTATAGAAAAGCTAGAACTCAGGAGATATAGGTCGTATTCCCTGGCTGTGCCCCTGGTCTGCAATTCATATTGCCTCTCTATGATTGTAATATGGTAAATGATGCTTTTCTACAAAGCACATTGTGATCTACTGATGAAAAGTGCTGTAAAAGATCTGGGTGGGATTAGTAATAGAAATAGGGTGACAGAATTGTATTGTGCTAATCATTATACAAGCACATAGTAAGAGATTATCCGTGCCCCAAAGAACTAAAACAAATGACAAATCAGCATTATCCCCTTGAACACTCTTAGATGCAATCACAGTGCATGGAAGGACTAATCCTGTTTTCCAGCATTGTAGTCTATGTGGTTCTAGGTGTTTGCATCAAGTAGTTCAAAAGAAATAAATTTTAAGCTGGCTGTGTTCTGACATACTCCTCAAATCTGAGTCTTTGAACAGAGCGTAATACTTCTAAGTAGGATTAACACCTTAACAATGGTTCTAACTTGGCTTGTTCCTGCTTCCCAAAAATGTTTTATCTACTTTTGTCCTCATTCCCTCTTCTTCATTCCAGAAAAATCAAAAAAGGTAGAACACTAGGTGACCATGAGGTAGTCACTTGTGTCTACATCTCAGTGAAGAAGTAAGCAAGCCACTTATGGGCTTCTGAGCTTAGCTTAGTTCTCTGGGTCTTCTAGGCCAAGAACCCATCCTTTGTATATTGCCATAGCTGTGGAGTAGTGGAAACCTGAAAACTGAGAGACTTGAGTGCATTCTGTAATGTGCACATACAAGCAACCCCTGCTTAACGCTGTTTTGCTTAGCGCTATTTCGCTATGACGCTCATTTTAAATTGATACCTGATTTCACTTGGCGCTCAGTGAGTTTCATTATAATGCGCGCAGTTGCCATCAAAAACAATTGAGGTCACCATCTTGGGTCATCAAATACTTTTGGTTTCGCTTAATGCCCGTTTCGCTTAACGCTCGGTTTTTCAGAAACCAATTAAGAGCACTAAGTGGGGGTTGCCTGTAGTTCCAAATACATTTTAATGTTATGAAAGGAAATTAATGTAAAGCAAATATGTCCTTCGTTAAAATACCTCAAGCAATAAATGATGCTTTGGGCTGTTCACTGAAAAGCTGTAATTTAAGGAAAGAATAATAATAGATAAGGAGGGTAAAAAAATTAGGGGAAAAGAGGCTCACCCAAGTTACGGCAGGAAGCTCTACATATTTGAACATGTTAATGGTTTCTACCAAGAAAATGACTAGTTAGTAATTAATGTGCTTCCTAATTTAACCCTCATTTTAGCTTAATCACCACCATCCCTAATAATAATGTTTTCCAATAACTTTTTCAAACAGGTTGACAATTATTAGTGGTAAATTTCCATGAAATTCCTGTGGAACATGCTCATTAAGAGCAAAACAGTTTGTTCTAATTAATATTAAAATGGTGACTATTAAAAGAATTCATGATGATGTGTCATTTTTTAAAACTTTAAATGTCTCCCTATTCCACACATTGAAACAAACTTTCTTTCTGAGATTTGCTTTTGTGGTGCCAGATTGTGAATCTTATATTCTCAGGTAGTTATATCTGTTACAGATATGCAATTCTTAGGTATTTCTAAAACAGAAAGTGAGACTAAAATGTAACAATTCCAGTTGTAGAGAAAATCACAGTAGATGCCTTCCAAGGACAGTTTCTTTCCTCGAATCTCTGGTTGATCAAGGAAAATGAAGACTAAATACATTGTTTGGCTTTACATTTAGTTTTGAAGTGAATTTAGTTTTCATAAAATGTGCTGCTGAATTAACTACTTGAGACTCCAAAATAGGCCCTACATGGTCAATAACGGTGCCAAGTGTCCAGTAGTAGTTATCAGTCGTCAGTTTCTGTCCAGTCATCAGCCTGTCTGTGGTGACCAGCTCAAAGAAGATGACCAATCTCATTCAGTTGCTGGGTTATCACTATATAGGGGTAAACTTGAAGTGAATAATTTTAATTTTAGTTCACTGTTACTGAAATTTTCCTGAGTTTGAAGAGTCTAATCTATTAGAAAGTGGAGAACAAATTCTGTTGCCTCCCTGGTGCTTCTGTAAAGAACTGTAGTATGTTTTATGTTAGATTTGCTTTTGTAGTGCCAGACTGTGAATCCTGCATTATCAGTTAGTCATGTCAGTTATAGATGCACAGTTTTTCCCACTAGTAGCCCCTGGGGTCTACTCAGGTAAGACATTTCTTAGCTATGCACGTGCAGTATCCACTAGGGCTGTGCGAAATGCCTGTGTTTCATTCTGGATTCGGCGTTTCAGAGGGACAGTGATTCGTTTGTGTTTCGAATCACTGTCCCATTTTGTTTTGGCTGAAACTGTTTTGGAATTTTAATGGTGTTTCAGTGTTTCGGTCATAGGCTGTAGTGGGGAATCACAAAACTGCCTATAGCCTTGTCATTTTGTGCCTGATTCAGATGAAAACAGCAGGCATGGTAGCCCCTTCTGATGCCACAAAGCCTGCGAGGTTTCAAGGAGAAAAGTGCAGGGGTTTCTGGGAAACTGTACCTCAAGGTGCTGAGAAGCAAAACTTGTGACGTGTGACTCTGTGTGTGTGTGTGTGTAAGGCACAGCAGGGTGAAAACTGCAGGCATGGTAGCCCCTGCTCTCACCCTCACAACTCCACTCCAACCAGTAAGCCTCAGGTCTCTCAAAGATCTTACAGGTCTGGACTTTCCCCCGCCAGGAATGTGTGGTGGTTAGAGGTTATCAGGTGCCTCCTACCCACCTTTCACCAGGAAGTTTCATGGTCCTAGCATTTCCTGGGGCTGCTGCGTCACAGGCAGTCCCACCCAGGCCTCCCTACCCTGGCAGGGTGCAGTTTTATGTGATGGTGAGGATGATGCAGGGCCTCCTCCTCCATCCAAATAGCCCCTGGCTTTATACCTCCAAGTTGTTCCTGGCATGGGAGCTCAGCAGAGAGATGTTCTTCCCCTGCTGACTGGTGAGAAACTAAATTGCTGCCTCCAGCTCTAAGAGCAGGGCATTAAATGGCCACCCTCAGCTCCTCTCCTGCCATATACATAGCCCCTCATGCAGGCATGAGGAAGGCTTGCTAGGTTTCAGGCAGAGTGGTACAGGGGTTTCAGTGAAACTTCACCTCAAACTGCTGCAGGCGAAACTCGTGCCACTTGTATACGTTAGGGGGTGTAGGTTGTAGCAGTGCTGGTGTAAGGAGGTAGCCCAGACAATGGCCACCCTCAGCTCCTCTCCTGCCATATACATAGCCCCTCATGCAGGCATGAGGAAGGCTTGCTAGGTTTCAGGCAGAGTGGTACAGGGGTTTCAGTGAAACTTCACCTCAAACTGCTGCAGGCGAAACTCGTGCCACTTGTATACGTTAGGGGGTGTAGGTTGTAGCAGTGCTGGTGTAAGGAGGTAGCCCAGACAAGGTTCTTGTCATAGATTCATAGATGCTAGGGTCGGAAGGGACCTTAATAGATCATCGAGTCCGATCCCCTACATAGGCAGGAAAGAGTGGGTAGGGGAGAGCACCACCTCCCTTGTGAGCCCATTCCAGACCTTGGCCACTCTAACTGCGAAGAAGTTCTTCCTAATGTCTAGTCTAAGTCTGCTCTCTGCTAGCTTGTGGCCATTATTTCTTGTAACTCCCAGGGGTGCCTTGGTGAACAAAACCTCACCAATTTCCTTCTGTGCCCCTGTGATGAACTTATAGGCAGCCACAAGGTCGCCTCTCAACCTTCTCTTGCGGAGGCTGAAGAGGTCCAGGTACCCTAGTCTCTCCTCATAGGGCTTGGCCTGCAAGCCCTTAACCATACGTGTGGCCTTCTCTGGACCCTCTCCAGGTTATCCACATCCCTCTTGAAGTGTGGCGCCCAAAACTGCACGCAGTACTCCAACTGCAGTCTGACCTGCGCCCGATAGAGGGGAGTATCACCTCCTTGGTTCTGTTCGCCATGCATCTGCTGATGCACAATAAAGTGCCGTTAGCTTTTCTGATGGCTTCGTCACACTGACGACTCATGTTCATCTTGGAGTCCACTAGGACTCCAAGATCCCTTTCCACTTCCGTTCCACCAAGCAGGTAATTTCCTAGGCAGTAGGTATGCTGGACATTTTTCCTCCCTAGGTGCAGCACTTTGCATTTCTCCTTGTTGAATTGCATTCTGTTGTTTTCCGCCCATATGTCCAAACTGTCCAGGTCTGTCTGCTTGTAGTTGTTCCCTGCCCTCTGGCGTGTCCACTTGTCCCCACAGTTTTGTGTCATCTGCAAACTTGGACAGAGTACACTTCACTCCCTCGTCCAAGTCGCTGATGAAGATATTGAAGAGTATCGGTCCAAGGACTGAGCCCTGCGGGACCCCACTGCCCACACGCTTCCAGGTCGATACCGACCCATCCACTATGACTCTCTGGGTGCGACCCTGTAGCCAATTCACCACCCACTGGACTGTGGGTGTCCTGTGTCAATCTGATATCTTTTATTAGACCAACGGAATAGGTGGAGAAATTCTTCTTTTGCAAGCTTTCAGATTTAAAAACCCTTCGTCAGGCTGAGGAAGCATCTTTGGTGGTTGTGTGCTCTTCCTGAATGGAAAGATGGTAAAGAAGCCAGAAGCTGGCATGTAATGCAGGCAAGAAAGCCAGTCAGTGAAAATGTGAATTGAGGCATCAATGGGTATTAAACAGGGTGTGGGGATGGAAGGGGGATGTAGCAGGTAAAAGTGGAGAGGTGCCTGCTACCTGGGGAGTTAGATGCCAGGCAGCTTGTAGTGTGTCATAAATCCAATGTCTATATTGAGTCCATGAGTTTCTGTATCTAGGAGGCTGATGAAGGTGAAGTTCA